CCATAGATAAAAGTAAATTCCCCGGTTCAAAGCTTCGTGTGACGTTCGCAGTCACCGATTTATATCAACCTGAAGCGTCATGTAACAATCTGTCTTCGCAGAGAGTGAATACCTAGATTTAGAATAGTTATGAGTCCAATTGATTCGCCACATTCTAAGCTGAACTGCTGAAAAAACAAAATTTACTAGGTAGTTTTCAGTACAAAATATCTTATCAATATCTCCATGGAACCAAGCCAGGTGCTGCTTGGAGCCGTTTTCCGGACTCAGTCTGCTTCTCAGTATTGTCATTAGCGAATAGGTACTAGATTAACTGATCCACATTTGTCCTAAATAATACCACAAATCACCAATCTGCGCACACTGACGTGAGAGGTTTGCGCAAATGATCAGCCATTGAACAAGCTGATCAACTTTGCCGACAATATCCTGGTTGGCAGATACTTTGTACCACATTGCTCTTAGATTTTTTGCGGATAGCTTTTTCACACTAACGCCACAGATGGGTGAGGCAAAGTTCGACTCAGAGGAGGCGCACGGTATAAAATTCCAGCTTCATGAGGCTTCAAGTAAGCCAGCGCGTAATGCATCGTTTTACGCTGCTTATATCATTCTTGTTCTGCATCGACCATATTGCCTGGTTGGAAGCCGCCGGTGTCCACAATTGGTCATCCCTATTTAACAATAATCCGTCAAAGAACTGGGTTGTCCTTGAGGCTGGTACGAATACCTGGGAAAATTATCGACACCAAGTAGGTTTTATTTGGCTTTTCATTGGTTTGAGCCTCAAAATTCTTTTAAAGCCCGGATGAAATGGTTTCCAATGTGGAACTTCGCAATAATGTTCCCCCAAGCGTTGTGGCCGACCTAATTTCCTCCATGAATGTGTTGTTTCTTTGGAAAAGGCGGTGGACAGAAGCCACAACTACTAGGCACACATTTCGTGGTTTGTTTGTTTGTCAGCATTTCCTTGTCGTGCAGAGTTATTTTGGCTTGAGTGTGGCCGATCGACCGGTTAATACTGACGTGTATACCGTGGTTCACGTTAGTCGGAAATCAACATCGTCACCCATGTGTTTTACGTTGCGTTATGTTGGGTGAAATCACTGACTTTGAGAGGATGTGTTTTGCATACACAAAAGAGTATTCCTACGGTCGCATGTTCATCAGGCCACCACTAATCATTTACCCTTTCTTTGCAGCATCAGTATGTTAGCGAAACGCTTCCAAACTCCGTAGTACGTTAGCCTCAGGTGATCTAATGAACAAACTAGATGTCAGAAATCTCAAAAAAGACCACTGACGTAGCAATGGCGTTAGTTGTTGTCCCTAAAAACTTAATCTACCGCTATTCAATACGAGCAAATAATTGTATACTACTTGGTACGATGAAGCAACCCAAATTTGGGGTAAAAATATGGAACGCCACTTTGATTAAATCCGTTCGTCCAATCGTGCCTGATTTGCATGGGGCTATCTGAGAATCGCATGGAAAATGTCACACGTGTCGAAAGTGTCTGTACCCACTTTTAAGATTCACTTAGTAATGTTTTATTGCCGGTATGATTCGCTGCCATTTTATCATTTCACCAGTGTGGAAAAGAACGACAGTAGCAAACATTTTATTATCGAAATCAAGGGATGCCAGGATTGAAGAGCTCCTGTACGCATGTCGTTGTTCCGACTAAAAGCTGTGTTTCAGACAACGTTTTCCGGACTCCAATCCTGCTTCTTGTTCTCGGACTCTCTTCAAACTTTTTCGTGAATTAGGCTCAGGAAACATTCTGCTCACAACGGAAGCCACGCCGCTATCATTAGTAATAGCAACACTTGCTTCCGGATCATGCAAATAACAGCGAGCTAAAACGCGCAAGTTGTGCATTTCAGCAACCGTGGTGAGAATTTGAATCCTAATTACGAAGAAGGCGATGGCTAATCCAGCACACAAACATGTTGTGCAGCTTGTTTCAGATCGCATGCAATAAAGAGTGACAG